AGTTTGCAAATGTCCTCTATCAGAGACTGAGACCTCACAGTCCAAGAAAGCCAACCTGCCATTTTTTACATCTTCTCGTGTGAACTTGATGTATTTATCCACAGAGTTGATGTGGTCAGTAAAATGTTGGACTTCCTGAGATTTGATTTTAACCCAGGTGTCGTCAACATACCTGAACCAATGACTTGGTGGTGTCCCTGAAAAGGACGTCAAGGCTCTCTTTTCTACCTCCTCCATGTACAGGTTGGCAACAATAGGAGAAACTGGAGACCCCATAGCACACCCATGTTTCTGCCTATAATATTGCTCCCCATATGTGAAGTAGGTTGACTGCAGGCACAGTTTCAAGAGTTGACACAGTTGTTCTGTGGAAAGTGTGGTCCTGCTGCTCAGAGTGGTGTCTGATTTTAATCTTAAACTGACCACCTCTACTGCATCATCAACAGGAATGCAGGTAAAGAGTGACGTGACATCAAAAGAGACCATTGTTTCATCAGTCTCCATGATGACATCCCTCACCTTATCCACAAAGTCCATGGTGTTCTGAGCTGCCAACTAAAGGGATGAGTACAGACGCCAGATATTTGGAAACATTGTAGGTGACAGAGTTAATCATGCTAACAATTGGTCTTAAAGGTACACCTTGTTTGTGGATTTTAGGTAAATCATACAGACTAGGTGTGGCCTCCCCTGGGTACAGTCTGTGGTACAAAATACGGTCAATAGTTGGTTTTGGTTGTCAGCAGCAAAACTGGTTGATCCACTCTGAGAAGGTGCTACTTAAGAGACTGAGCTGAATACAGCTCCTCAGACTGAGGAAGTCTTTTGGATGAAAGACGAAACGTTTCTACATTTTTTTGCTTTGTTTGGTTTTTTGTTGTTTTTGAATGTCCAGAGGACCAGATTGAACTTTTTTGGATTTTTCTACCTGGATTATCGAGCATGCATCAGGATAAAGTGAAAGTATGTTTTACTCCTTGTAGTGTTTCTAGTATTCAAAATTTTGCAAAATAAATGACAGGAAAATTGCTAATAGCCCTTTTAGTTGTTGTTATAACAACCAATAAAATTCAGTTTTATTTCAGTTTTGGTCAAAGCTTGAAAGAGCCGCTGCAGAGGGACCAAAGAGCCACATGTGGCTCCAGAGCCGCAGTTGCAGACCCCTGGTATAGAACATTGATTTTGGGCTTTGTTGCTGCAGGTTACGTCGGCAGAAATGAACTGAGTCGGACCAGAACAGAGTTGGACCAGAACGAGAGCCGCTCTTGTTCTGCAGAGCTGGCAAATAAAATTTAGTAGCTACATGTACAGTACTGTACGTATGTTGTTAAAATGACGTAGGATTAAGAGTTTAGAACATTGCAAAAGTGTGGGAAGGGCTTATAAAACCTTAAAATATATAAATACTAAAATAAATATAACGTCGCTACTTAGTGGATTTTCACTTATTGCGGGCGGCCGGGGGGGGGGGGGGGGGGGCTGTCTGGAACATAACCCCCACAATAAAGAAGGGACTTTTGTATTTTAGAGATTGCAGTTGGGTCTTGACAGCCTATTCCCTATCAGCATGTTTCCTCCAAACTTGTAGATGTGAACCTACCAGTCTCCTCCAGAGAGATGATCATGGTTCCCGGGCCGAACAAGTTCCAGGCCGTGCAGTTGTAGGTGGACAGGAAGTCGGACTCCATGACGTTGTTGATGGTGAGTGTGGAGAGGACGCCGCCGCCCTCGGCTGACGGTTTGCTCTGCTCTACGGTGTACCTCTCCAGAAGTGTCCCCTTCTCTTTCTCCCACACGTTCTCCTTCCACGCCCACACCTGCAGCAAGGACAGGACGAGCACATCAAACCGAGTCGAGGTGGTGAGTTCGAAAAATCAGCCACACGTTTATCCTTGTCCGTGGTTTTATTTAATCAGTCATTTTGGTGCGGTCAATTAACACAACTTTTTTTCTGACAAAGACTAAAAATCCTTTATTTTGTCAGAATTTTTTTCAGATGCTCCTGTAACCTCACAGTAACTTTACTACACGCCAAGTTCTGCTGGAGAAAAAAAATCAGCCATATGGAAAATCATTTGTAAATAAATGTTTGTTTCCCATACTTATCATATCATAAAATAAAGCATTCGTCTCACTAATAGTTTTTCTTATTACCTCTATCCCCATACTTTGATGTTTATGTTGAATCATTAGTAGGTAACGACTTTTATATTTGAGAGACGCAGTAAAAAGTTAAAAAGTTAGAATACTTCACTCCGGAGAAGACGCTTTATTCGCGGCTGAACTTACTGAAGAGTTCCGCCTGTTGTCTCGTCTGACTAAGCTGTTGTAGTTTGGATGTAAAGAGCAAACGGCAAACTTGCATTTTGTACGTCAACGTTTGGTTTAAAAAAAAAAAAAAATCTGCTCCACATGCATGCAGGCTGCAGCATCGGAGTCTCCACTGCTCAGACCAGCTGATTCCTGCTGGTTTATCAGGACGTAAAGAGTGGACGCACCGGGCTGTTGCAGCTAGGAGTATATCCAGGTCAGTATAAGCAACAAAATAAAAGAAAAAAAACTGGCATTGCACATGGATAGTGTTTTAGATTAAAAATATATTAAAAATCCTCCATATCTGACCACAAAGAGGCAAGAGTGAATTTGAATCTGTAGGGTCTGATGGGCTGGAGAGTCTTCACAAACCTTTGGACAGGAAGTATTGTAATGGTCAGCAGCCCCCTGCTGACCCCTCATCTACTCACGTCACTGCTCCTCTTGCCATGTTTCTGCCCTTCCTGCCATAAACCTGCCTTCATGCTCTTTGTTCTCCTGTCCATGTCACCTGCCATAGTTTGTGCCCCTCATGACATTGTTTGTTTTTCCCTGATGTGTTTTGCCTATCACCCATCCTCCAGTTCAAGCCTGCACTCCATACCACGCCTCCCTTTTCTCACAGCAATCAGCCCTGATTCCACGCACCTGTTCAGCTCATCTAGTTCACCTGCTCTGCACCCTTTATAAGTTCCATTCTCACTCTCCACCGGTGCCGAATTATTATACCTTCCATGGTCCCTGATATCCAGCCATCTTGTTCTTGTTCATGTTTGATGTTCATGCCCTGTATTTGGATTTTCGACCTCACGCCTTGTCTTGTGGATTTACCCTTTTGCCTGCTCCTCGTCTGATTCTGCTCTGTCCTTCTGATCACTGTAATGACCTCTGCCTGTATGACCACGATTCTCGGATCACCCTTTTTGGATTAATTCTTGGACCTCTGACTCCGTGTTTGACCCCTTTGGACCACGACCCTGCATTGCCCCACTTTCTCTCTCTGTCTATTAAGATTGGACTCCTGACTTGGACCCTGACTCCAGCTGCCAGCAGACTCATTAATAAAAAACTGTTCTTGTTTTTGCACTCCTGTGTCTGGCTTATTCTGAATCCAAAACCCGAACATGGTGGTGCAGTTGGTAGAGCTGCTGCCTCAACGAGAAGGTCGCTGGAATTAATCCCAGCTGGCGGCCTTTCTGGGTGGAGTTTGCATGTTCTCTCCGTGCATGCGTGGGTTTTCTCCGGGTACTCCGGTTTCCTCCCACAGACCAAAAACATGCATGTTTTGTGCATACATGGGGAGTGGTGGGGCAAAGGTTAGAAGATGGGCCTGTGATCAGAAAGTCATAGGTTCAACTCCCGGTACCGTCAACATCAAAATGTGGGTGGAAAAGGTGAAACACCCACACCTCCCTCCACCCTCACTCGCCCCACTCTGGGCCCCTGAGCAAGACTCTTAACCCCCACCATCTGCTCCCTAAACGGGTCTCTCTTGAAAATGAGTTCTTGTGGCTCAATGAGACTACCTGGATAAATAAAGGCTAAATGAAAATGGGCATGGGCACAGGTGACCCCCGTGACCCCAAAATTGAAGAAGCGGGTAAACATAATGGATGGATAGTTTAAGGCGTACTAGTGGGAAATGCCTTTTTAATTTTAATTGCCATAATACAAACATTTAGTAAATTTAAAAAATAAATCAAATGTGGAGTTGTTTTTTTTAAACAAAACATCCTTAAATAATTAAAATAAAAACCATTTATATTTGACATTTTAATTTAAGGTGAGATAGCTCTAAAAGAATGACTACCCCGGTAGTTTATTGTGGAAAAGAATATTAAAAAAAAAAGGTTTTAAACAGTTACATAAGACGGTTGTTTCTTTCCCAGAGGAACACTAATGACTGTCATAAAGTTAAAAGACCTCTAGGGCAGCGTTTTTCAAAGTGGGGGCCATGGCCCCCTGGGGGGCTGCCAGGGGGGCACCAGAGGGCTGGAGAGAATAAGATTAAAAAAGCAAAAATAAAAAAAAGTAATAATAATAAAAATTGCCCATTAGGGCAATCTGTCTTTCCAGATGCACACTCTTGTAGATTTCTATTGTTTTGTTCTTTTGGTCAACAGTTTGTAGAAAAGTTGTTTTTTCAGTAGGAATATGAAACCGTGTTAATAACATTTTTATGCTCAGCAACTGTAATAATTGAATATATTGAATAATGGGCCTGTCACGATAACAAATTTAGCTGGGCGATTAATTGTCTCAGAAATTACCGTGATAAACGATAATATTGTTTGAAATTTGACAATAATTAATAATTATTGTAAAATTTATGAAGAAATGTTGGTTAATTTATTTTGTGTGTAGTACCTTTTTTGACCACCGGATGAAAGTATAAGACTGTTTGAACCGAAGAATGGATAGTGAGGGAGTGAGCAGCATGTTTCTTTGAGAAAAATGGGAGGGAGACCCCTTGACGTGACATGGGCTATCTTTCCTTCCTTGTTTTCGGTTCTTAAAATGGTGGCCGCTCGGTGTGGTTTGAGCTCTTTAGCATAGCATTTTTCACACAAAGCTTTTAATAAAAATCAGTAAACAAGTTCTCAGCTTCTTTTTGCAGAGAAAAACAACTTTTTAGACAAAGGCACGGGTTTCAAACGTGAATTTTGGAGCTTTGACAAGACGGAGGTTTTTTCCTGAGGTCGACCCGTTGGCTTAGCTTGTAGCTTAGCTGCTTTTAGTGAAGAGAGAAGAAAAAAAGAGAAGAAACGATAAAGCCGATAAAAGAAAACGAGGTAGATGATTTTCATTTATCATGTAATTAAGTGATTTCTTGTTTATCGCGACAGGCCTAGTGAATAAAAGTTAAAACATTCTAACAGTTGATGTTTTTTTACATATTTTGTAGCATTGTTTGTGGGTTTGCGAGAGGGGCCTCGGCCAGAAGCTAATGATGATTAGTGGCCATGGCATGGAAAAGTTTGGGAACCCCTGCGAGTCTAGGAGACTGCCCACCTTTCATGGTGATATATTGAATATGTTGCAGCATATTTGAGCATGTTTTGGTTAAATTCAGAGCAGCCTATAAATATCCGTCTAACTCAACGTGAACAAACATGCAGCACGAGCTCCTGACAGCATCAACACGTTAGTGCAGACTGAGGAGCAGCAGCACGGTGGGTGACTGAGCTGGCGAGAACATTGCTCATCCTCCACCTTTTGGAGCCACTAACAGCAGCTGTATTATTCAGAGCTGGAGTACTCTGCTGAGTTAAATATGCATCAGGCCACATGTTCCTATAATCGGCCCACTTATTGGAGAGAGGCACATTCTCCTGGCCGTGGCGTTTACTGGAACAACGGCTCCTCTCTCCGGCCCTTTATATTTTATAAATCTCCTGTTCCAGCCCCCGCCTCTCGCATTAAGGAAGCTGCGAGTCAGGACGGATCAGTTCACAGAGGTGGTGCCACCGCCGCGCTCTGTCCTGGCTGCGCACTGACGCAGAGCTAAAATCCAGACGCATCAGGGGCTGGCGCTGGTTTTCTTCATGCGACGAGACGGAGGGAGGCTCGGAGAGAGGTTCGAGGTGACTCAAACGGGAAAGGAGGACGGCATGCAGGAGTGGAGCCATTTACAGGGACAGGAGGAGCAGAAAACAAAGCGCTGTTAGCCTAAAAGCTACAAGCAGGAGCTCTTTGTGGCCAAAGCTTTTCCTTGTCCTGAATTATTCCGTCTGAATTATTCAGGCGTTGCTATCATTTGGAGATTTGCTGAAGCTACCGGTACACTTTCACATCTTCTGTGCACTTACGATCTTATCTGGAGGAGGTGTGCTGGCTATGTAGCACTTGACCTCCCCCCTCTCCCCCCTCACAGCGTACTGGACGGGATCACTGGAAATGATGGGCGGACCTACGAGGCACAAACCAGATCAAAAGTTAGCGATGAAGCTAGGAAGTTTCTTCCATTAAAAACACTTGTCCTGTTTAATGTCAATGGTCAAGTATTCTGTAAAGGAATGCACATGGCCCGGTGCCGTTCAGATCAGTACAGACTGGAATCTTCTACCAAGTTAGAGCCATTCTGGTCAAACCTAAAAAAATAAAAACAAAAAACATGCTCTGTGTGTCATGCGTTACTGTGAGATCTCACACTGAGTATGATGGGAATGACTCGGCTACTACGGCATCACATTTTAGCTCCATATCTGTAAATCAGACTGAGTTATAGTTTGAGTTTACTGAGTTTATGTGTTGGATAATGTTGATAAGCTGTGGCGGCCATCTTGAATTGGATTGACATCAAAAGTTAAATAGTTGTAGAGGGACATGCAACAATTACTTCCTGAAAGTTTTCAGTCAATTCATCCAGTGGTTCAGTGTCTGTGTTTCAGCTTCACATTATTTAATCAGGACTGTGTTTGATTATAACATAAACATCCTGCAGCAGATTTAGCTTTGAGCTAACTATTGAACGTTTATAAAACATTCAATTTTCTTACAGACATGTTTCAACATGTAACTAACTAGTTCTGCAGTTTTTGTTCTATTCCAATAAATCATGAATCAAAACGTTCAGCTCATTCAGGACGTTCGTGCTGTGACTTTTGGTTTTTGGGCAACTTTAACTTTTTGAAATATTTAGCTAGTGTCGGCCATGTTTTTCGCATTGAAAATGAATGGAACTCTCTACATCCTTTAAACCTTTTCAGCTGTTTACAACCTTTTATTGCTCATTTTAGCTCTTCTTCTATTCTTCTTCAGCTTCTTTCTACAAAGATCAACATCATCAGGCCAGGACTCTGCGGTCTACACTCATCTCCAGGCCAGCGGTCACTTGTTTAGGGATGAAGATGCTCACATCCTTGATAGAGAGGAACGATGGTTTGAGAGAGGAGTAAAGGAGGCCATCTTTGTGAAAAGAAACTGTCCATCATTAAACAGGGGCGGAGACCTCTGTGTCCAACTGTCCACCTCGTACAATGCTGTTATTGTTAGTATCACTCAACCCCCTGTGAATAGTAAACAGCCATCAGGGTGCTAACAATTAATTGTTAGGCTGATGGTCCTCCTTGATCATGTGAACAGCTAGTTCTGGATGTCACCATTAAACTGGTTGATCCACTATGAGAAGGTGTATTTACAAGACTGAGTTTGTTGCAGCTCCTCAGATTGAAGAAGTCTTTTAGATATAGACGAAACATTTCAACAAGAAGAATCTGTCCAGAGGACCTGACTTTACTTTGTTAGATTTATCTACCTGGATTATTGAGCAGCACCAGGACAGCATTCTACTAATTTCTGCTGTTTTGTGCTTCCTTCTGCTTTAAAAGCCAATTTTAGCTTCTATCTACTTTCTTTTGGCTAATTTCTGATTTCTCAGCTGCATTTTGGTTTATTTTCCAACTAATTTCAGCTTTTTGCCTTTATTTAATTTTTTTAGCTAATTTCAGCTTTTACAGTAGTCCCTCGTTTATCGTGGGGGATCCGTACCCTGAAGCCCCGCGACAAGTAAAAAAAACCGCACAGCAGGAATAGTAGTACAAGTAAGTAGTAGCTTATTTATATGTATATATATATATATATATATATATAAAGGTGTTTTAAACCCTGCCCACACTCTTGCAATATTCTAAACAATGTTTGTACACAACACTCTAAAAGAGCACAGACTGCCATGATTTCAGCTCCCTGCTTCCTCTCAGCCACGGCTGCACTCTGCACTTTTGGCCACGCCCACTTCTCCGATGAAGAACGAAGATCGACAGAGGAGGAAGGAGGAGCTGCAGGAGGAAGTTTCTCCTGCAGCTCTGGGTTGCACAAATGTGCAGCAGGTGCTAAATAATTTTAAATAATTTATTTAAAATAAAAATTCCATACTGATCGTGCGGCTCGTCCATCAATCAACCGATTGTGTGTCATGTCCAATCTTATTTTGATAAACCGCAATAGAGCAAGTCTCCGAAAAACAAACCGTGAAGTAGCGAGGGACTACTGTGTGTGCTTGTTTATAGCCTTTTCCTGTTTATTTCAGTTTTGGTGCTCTCTGAGTCTCTTTCTGTTAAAGAACTGTAGCAAAATAAAAATCTACCACTTCACGCTGTAGGACTGTTTCCGCTGGTTAAAATACATCAAAGGGAAATATTTTCATGTACGAGGAACAGAAAAGCAAAGTGTAAGGAAGTTTCCTGACCGTTCACTGTCAGCGTGACCTCCGTCTCTCCAACTCCAATTCTCGGGACGATGGCCTTACAGACGTACTGCCCAGCATCCGCCTGGGACACCGACTTCAGGTGCAACTGGTTGCCGTTACTCAGAACCTGTTGAGGAATGAACAGAATAAATGTCTGAATATATCACTTGCATGAACAACATCCACATCCGCTTTTAACCCATCACAAAGGTTTTAGAGTTGCCTAGCAACCACATCCATCAGAAAACGAACTGTGGGGAAATTATGGGGAAACATGAAACCACCTAGAGAGAAACCCTGATTATAGCGACGTGGGTGTCTGGACACATGCAGAGGCTTTAAAGTGAAGCAGATTTCATCTGCGTTCTTCAGGGTTCCTGCTCTCCATTCTGAAAATTTACACCTTTTTCAAATATTTTTACGACTTTTAAGTCATTTTTGACATCAATAAATTTACTGCATGTTTGTACTGCAGTGGTTTTAATAATAGAGTTTTAAACACAGTGAAAATGACAAACTATGTCAGAAGGAAAAAAGTGTTTTTCCCCTTTTTCTTCTGGCTGTTCCCAGTCATCTGCTGACCTGTCATCTGATTTCATTCCTTTTGTTTTCAACCCAGTAATAATGGCTGTTGTGTGAAATGTAAATTAAAATAATTAATTGATTTACAAATGTCAGAAACACATATTTTATTTGCAATTAAACATCCATCCATTATCTTTACCCGCTTATTCCATTTTTGGGTCACGGGGGTCGCTGGTGCCCATATCCAGCAATCACTGTGTGAGGGGCGGGGTACACCCTGGACAGGTCTCCAGTCCATCACAGGGACACATAGAGACAAATGAGACAAACAACCATTCACTCTCTCACTCACACCTAGGGGCAATTTAGAGTTACCAATCAGTCCAACATGCATGTTTTTGGTCTGTGGGAGGAAACTGGAGTACCCGGAGAAAACCCATGCATGCACGGAGAGAACATGCAAACTCCACCCAGAAGGGCCCCTGGACAAGGGTTTGAACCAAGGACCTGCTTGCTGAGAGGCAGCAGCTCTACCAGTTGCGCCACCGTGCTGCCCGCAATTAAACATCCATCCATTATCTTTTACCTGTTTCTTCCTTTTGGGTCACAGGGGTCACCGGTTTCCATGTCCAGCAGTCACTGTGTGAGAGGCGGGGTACACCCTGGACATGTCTCCGGTCCATCACAGAGATACATAGAGACAGATGAGAGAAACAACCATTCACTCTCTCTCTCGCCTAGGGACAATTTAGAGTTACCAATCAGTCTAACATGCATGTTTTTGGTCTGTGGGAGGAAACTGGAGTACCCGGAGAAAACCCACACAGCAGAGAGAGAACATGCAAACTCCACCCAGAAAGGCCCCTGGATGGGATTTGAACCAGCGACCTTCTTGCTGAGAGGAAGCAGCTCTTCCAACACCATGCTGCCCATTTTGTACTACCGTATTTTTCGGCCAATAAGTCACAGTTTTTTTTTCTTCCATAATTTACATGCCCTGCAACTTAAGAGGCCGAAGCAAAGTATTTATGGATTTTTCCCCATATTTATAAACCAATTTTTGGCTGAGATATGAGTATTTTCATTCATTCTGACCGAAAAAAAAATTGATCAGGTCCACCACTTTCAGCCACTTTATGGCAGCAGAGTAGTAGTAGCAGTATGGCATGCCGTTGTATCATGTAATAGGTAAACGTGGCTATAATGACAAATTCAAAAAAGTTCAAGACAAAAACAACTGGGCTTTATTTATTAAACTTTACTTTATTGTTTTATTCTTCAACTTTTTTTGAGTTTACCATGTCCTGGATGACTGAGGATCTTCATCTATTAATGACACAATCGGCTTGCCATAGTCCACCTTCGTTCTGCTCGATGCTTAGAGCAACCCGTCAAAACAGCTGCACCGCCCCGGCAAAATGCAGCTTATTTGACCGTTAAAGTGCATTTATTAAGCAAATATTAGACTGAGACACACATTTACTATAATTTCGAGCAAACAAATAATTGTTTTTAAGTGTTAATCTTGTTAAATTTTTGTTAAAGTCTTCCTGTGCACGCTCCCGCGGCTGCCATTTGGCAGCCAATCAATTTTTGGCACATCGGTCAGCGGTGAAGCGTAACAAACGCGACGAGTCAGCGGTGACGCATAATAGATGCGATGTATACGGCGAAGCGACATATTTATGGATTTTTCCACTTTTTTAGACATATTTGGACTAATGTGACTTATAGGGCGGTGTGACGGGTATGGCGGAAAATACGGTAATTACCATAAATTAATTAGCAACAGGTCAGTAAGAGGACTGGGTATAAAAAGACTTGTAGAGAGGCTGAACCTGTCAGAAGTAAAAATGGGCAGAGGTTTACAGTTTACCAGAGAAAAAAATATCTGAAAGTTGTGGAACAAATTTTGAATAATGTTCCTTGACAGAAAATGTGTTAAGACTTTAAATATCTCTTCATCTTCAGTTTATAATATGAACAAATAATTTAAAATTCTTAAACATTTGAGTTTAAAGAAGAGGCTAAGTCAACAATGTCGAGATGTTTGGGCCCTCAGGGGCCACTGCATTAAAACCAGGTCTGGTTCTGTTCTGGGCTCAGGAACACTTCCACAGATCACTGTCTGTAAACACAGTTCATCCACAGATGCTGCTTAAAGCTCTATCAGACAGAGAAGAAGAATGTCTGTGGATCTGGAAAAGAACCATTTCAAATGGAGGTATGGGAAGCTTATACATCTGGAAAGGAACCATCAATGCAGAATATCATGAACAGGTTTGATCAATAAATGCTCCTGTCAAGGCAACATCTTTTGCAGGGAAGATCTTGTATATTTCAGCAAGACGGTGGCTCAGTTGGTAGAGCTGTTGCCTCACAGCAAGAAGGTCATTGGTTCATATCTCAGCCAGGGACCTTTCTGGGTGGAGTTTGCATGTTCTCTTCGTGCATGCGTGGGTTTTCTCCGGGTACTCCAGTTTCCTCCCACAGATTAAAAACATGCATGTTAGACTGATTGGTAACTCTAAATTGTCTCTAGGTGTGAGTGAGAGAGTGAATGGTTGTTTGTCTCGTTTGTCTCTATGTGGCCCTGTGATGGACTGGAGACCTGTCCAGGGTGTCCCGCTCACACAGTGACTGCTGGACATGGACACCAGTGACCCGAAAAGTAAGAAGCGGGTAAAAGATGACAGATGGTTGGATGGAAATTTTCTGCTCTTTCGTAACATCTTGTTTTATTTAAATCAGAGAAAAGTCTAGAGCAGATATTAAGGAGCAGAGTGAGGACGTTCAGCTTCTTACCATGTTGGAACCTTTTTTGAACCAGGTGAGAGTCAGCGGGGGGTTTCCAGCCCATTTACAGTTGAGGGTGACGTCTGAGTCTACGTCGACTGTCTTTGGCTGCGGCTCCACCAGCAGGATGGGCCCAACTGGAGACAGACATGTTCCCTGTTAGCTTTGAGGAGCGCTGCTAAGAAAGAAACAATAACGATGTGGTTTCTCTAAAACCCCCCCACCCCACTGCACAGCTCCAGGCTGTAGGGAGGTGAGGCGAGTGGGGTGACTCACAGTGGACGTCTACAAAGATGCTGACGTTGGTCTTTCCAACAGCGTTGAACACCAGACAGGAGACGGGCTCGGTGAAGAAGGAGTGGTCAGCCTTGGTGGTGAACACGCTCTCCCTGGCGCCCTGCAGCACCACACCGCCTTTAGCCCACCTGCGGATCAAACACTCCGTCACATGCCTCATAAAGCACAGTTCTGTCTGAGCTTTCAAAACCTTGATTTAGTTTGATTTTATTTAACGTACACAGAAACAACAGATTTCCTCTGATGGACGACTGTGGTCAACAAGAGACAGATCCAGGCTGCTCACAGAAAACCGTCCGTGGAGGAAGCCACAGAGCCATGACACATTCCTGCTTTAACATATACACCTTTAATGGAGGCTCCTTTAACATTCAACCTTGACTCCACTCACACATCACCACCAGCCTGAAGACCCAGACCACAAAGCCGCAATACTTGGCTGGTCTATGTCAGGGCTATTCAACTAAACTGCTCAGGGGCTAGACATCCAGCAGTTACTGTCATTAAGTAAGTTTAAGTTTGTTTATGGCTTAAAATCTAGTTTTATTTAAAAATGAACCCATTGGTGGGCCTAACTGAGCTCACCAGTGAGCCTGGTTTGGACCCTGGGCCACCAGTTGAATAGCCCTGGTCTATCTACTTCTTTGTCTCACTTTAGCACTTTCATAATATAAAAATACATTTACATCAAGCTGTATATTTACAAACTAATATTATACTAAAACAAAAAATACAAGCAGTATGCCAATGTGGAGCAGCGGTAGGGCAGCTGACTTTCAATCATAAAAATCACAGGTTTGATTCCTCACCATGTCCTCATGTTGCAGTGTCTCTGAGGAAGACACCTGCTCAGCTGCCCGCTGCTCCACCGGTGGGTTGCTTAATTTTCAAGTTATCCAGATCACAAGATTTACATATATGGCAGCAGCCATCTTAGATTTTGATGTGGCAACCCAAAAAACCCTCACTTATTTTTCAAGTTATCCAGATCACACCATGAACGGACAGAGGGACAGACAGAGAAAGGGAGGGTATTTCCAATTCCCCCTCTTTGCTCCACGATGGGAGACAATAATGCTGGTATTCAGTATATCAACAGCAGTTCAACACCTCTGAGTGGTAAGGACTACCAGCAAGCAAGGGACCTGATGAAGACCAAGGAACTCTTCACAAGTTGTGAAGAGGTAAATATCAAAGTAATAAAAATAATTCAATCCATGAATATATTCTGTTTTTACATTATATAAAACCAAGATTGTTTTCCTGCCTTCATTAGTTTGGATTAGTTTAGGTTGAAATATGACTTAAAATAAAAAGCAAAACAAATGATAAATTACAGGAAGTTAGGCGACAATATAAAAAGATAACCAGAAGGTTGAATATTTTTGCAACTCATTGTAGTTATATTTTATAAATATTATGAAGTTGTTCAGTGAAGGCACTGAAAACCTTTTTTCTAATGATAAAACATTCAAAAATGGTTAAGAAATTAATTTAAAATTTTAAAGCATTCAATTTTTTTTACTTATTTTATTTTGAAACTTTATATGAAACAAATCAAGGGTAGCTAGAAGAAAACTTATTTCCTAGACTGATACACTTGCCCACTATCTAATTAGTAAGTGTAGATTGGCCCCAAAGCACCAAAGATATGAGAAAGAAACATACCTGTAGCCCATAATGGGGGGGTTGGCATGAGCCTGGCATGTGAAGGTGACTCTGTCCCCTTCTAGGGCAGACCGAGGCTCAATAGACAAGGTCACTGTTGGTTTATCTGGAAGGAGACGGACCACATGGACCTTACTGCTGTACATTAAATACATGCTGTCATTCAGTGGATAATCTAATAATCTGATGCTAAATACCCCCCAAGTCATGCTCAGTAAAAGCTTGAAAAATAAACACCTGCAGGCAGATGTTCTGCAACTAACTTCATTTTTGAAGAACTCTGCTGAAATTAGCTGAAGAAGCTGAAGCTGAGCTGATAAAGTAAATAAATAAATAAATCAGAGAAGACGCCCAATCAGAGCACAAGTTCAAGATAATTCAGCATAAGTGAAAAGCTAAAATGACAAGAACAGTAGCTAAATGCTAAAATTAGCCAAAAATAAAAAAGCAAAAAGTACAACAAACAAAAATAGATGCTTTGCCAATTTTTTCCCCACATAATTTTTTAGGTTAAATAGTGTGAAAAGTATAAAAGTTGAAAGAATGGTGGGCTGATGTCCCTCCAGCTGCTGAAAGATGTGAATAGTGAGTTTGTTGTTTTGCTTTTCTTGACCGGAACTAAACAGGAAATACAACTGAACCTTAGCGTTTTTGGTGAAAGATGTTCAGATGAGTAGACGTTAAAGTGTGGGGAAGAAGACAGGTAGGGTTTTTATTTATTTTTTGGCTTGTTTGAGGAAAAGCAGTGACAGCATCTGGTGAATGGGGGGAGCAATTTATCCACCACCAGGTGCAGTGGTGGAGCCAAGGGGTGGTCAATGGTGGCCTTACCCACCATAGATTACTCTTTGGCCACACCAAGGGCCACCCTAATCATTTGAGGAAACTATACTTTTAATTGGAATAAAAAGCTAGAAAGTATAGTTCCTCAAATTATGGGGTGGCCAGTTTACATAGATACTAGTGTTTCCCCTCCCATTAAACAAGGAGGGCGCCCCGCCCAGTCAACAGAACCGAGCGCCCTGCCTGTCACTGCCCGAAAAGTATGTGCTCTATCTCTGCCGATCTTCATGTTGCTAATTTACGCCACTCGTATTTCCGTTAAAATCACTGACGTATTTACGTCATTGGTTAAGACGATATGTGACGCATTAGACCTGACCACCCAGCCTGGGCTGAATGAGAAAAACACTGCAAGATACAGAATGAATTCTTTTCATGGTGAAACAGTGCCGCTCAGTGGTGAAGCTGCATATCATTTTAACCATGACGTAAATATGTCAATATATGCCAACCACTTATATGAAGGGCCACCTGCATCATGAAGGACCCCACTCACCCAGCACACACACTTTTTGCCCCGTTCCCCTCAGGCAGGAGGTTGAGGTGCATTAAGTGTAGAACCACTAGGCTGAGGAACAACTTCTACCCTGAGGCTGTTAGACTCATGAGTAACTAACCAGGATAATCACCGTGAAAAAAATCATATCATGCTGCTGCTGATCTGTTTCATGTTGCTGTGTTCATTCATACTCATCTGCTCACACAGACTCATGTTCGTGCAGCTGTTTGGCGTATTGTTTTTATACTACTAGTGCTTAGGGTATTTTTATTTACCATTTTTTTTGTTCATATCTTAGATCTTATTACTGTTTTTCTTTTACATTTTATACTTTTGTTGGCTGTAACTGGGACCATGTGTACACAATTTCATTCGCACCACATAATAATAATAATAATAATGTCATCACATTGTCATCACTGTATGTTTCCATACAATGGCGAAATTAGTCTCTGCATTTAACCCATCCACCACCAGGTGGTGCAGTGGGCAGCTATTGAAAGTGCCCCAGGAGCATTTTGAGGATAAGGTGTGCAGTGACCGGGGATCGAACCTAGGACTTTCGGGTCCCGAGCCAGCTGCCCTGCCTCTACGGCGTGAATGATAAATAAAGAAACTTGAATCCTTGAATCTGCCAATTAATTGTGTGTCATGTCCAATATTACTTTGAAAAAACGCATAAGAGCGAGTTCGCAAAAGTTGAACCGATAGGGGCGGTGATGCCCTCTCTTATGCCCAGAATCAGAAACACATCAAAACAGAAGCCGAAACGGTGCTTATTTTTTAAGTTATCCAGCTCACAAGTTTAACATGTATACATATATGGTGGCATCCATCTTGGATTTTGACTTGGCAATCCAATTCCTTAAGGTTCGCACATACTCGAGTGTACGTCAGTCCGTGGAGGTCCGTGTGTACCGGACTAGACTCAAAGTGGACGCCCTCAGGGCATGTCCGTGCAAAGATAAATTTTTCCGACCGCGTGAGCGTACTCGGTGTCACACAATAAACTGCCCGGCGACGGACTGCTTTGTATGTGACACCAATGTATTAAATCCCCCTTCTTCATCCGTGGTCTGGTTTAATGGCTTTTTCTTTTGTTTTGTTTTTTTTGCCAAGAGGCAAGTGATCTCTTCCTCCTTCTCCGTTGATGTCATGACTGAAATTGTTAGAAATTAAGGAATTTGTCACGAGAGAATTAAAATCAGGTCCAGTGTGGCTGCAGGAGGGTCTGGAGATTTCTCAGTGGGCCGGTCTGATGTGTGGACTGCAGGGCCAGCACTCCCTGTTTTTGTGTTTTTTTTTTTTTTTTTGGGGGGGGGGGGGGAGAACTTTTTATTAACAACATATAAACACAGGCCCCCTCTGCAACGGGGGCTGCCAGCTCTTGTTTTTTTTTTTTGCGGCCTGTCAATCAATCTAGTAGGCATGTCAGCAAATGACCAATTAGCTAATTTAATTTGTCCCGAAGGTAAACGCTCCTTGCCTTCGAAGCTGACTGCAGCCGCTCAGGGTGTACGCTCGAGTATGAAGTCTCAACCGTCTGCAGACAGAGTGCAGAGTTTCAACACGGACTGAGGTCCGCACGAGTCTGTAGGAGCCTTTATGCCTAGATGTAGCCACACACTGTCCAACAGTGGAATGGAAAATGGAAGTTGGTGCCTCATTTATTTTTTAAGTTGTCATGCTCATGACATGCATGGACGGTGCTCTGCGACGGGGGATAACAACATACGCAACAGAGCTGAACATTTTCATATAAGATTAGTTAAAATATCACAGACTATGCTGAAGTAGCTTGATTGCAAAAACGCTCTGGAAGAAACTGTAAGCAGGAACAAGTTGTGTGTCTCTGTGGGTGAAATCTCTGTTTTCTTTATTTAGTTTCAGGAAAGAGTCTTACGGTGCACATTTAGGGTGACAGTTGTGCTTTTTCCAGAGGAAACAGCCAGGTTGGTGGCCACACAGCTGTAGTTCCTCCCAGTGTCCGTGTCGACAGGGTGGATAGGAAGGTAGCTGCGCGTTGTCACCCTCTTCCTGTCTGGAAGCACCTCCTGGTGATCAGAGCACAAAAAGGGGCGGGGTTTGTTTCCAAAGCAGACAAAGTGCTGCCCAGCACTTTCTGAGTTTAATATGTGTGGAGCTTACAGTGATGCTGACGGCCCCCTCCGCAGGAAGACCGTCTTTAAGCCACTCGATTATTGAAGACGGTTTGGCCCCTCGAGATACACAGCTCAGGTTGTAGAACTCCCCCGCGTTCAGCAGCACCTCTGGACCCCCATCGATCACCGGGTCGTCTGGGGGGACTGAAGCGGGGACAATGCATGGTTAGAAACACATCTAACATCGTCCACCGACACACGAAGGAACACAAACGTACTGAGGACGGTGAGTTTGGCTCTTCTGGACCTCAGCGCGGCGTCGGGGGCCTGGCACTCGTACAGCGCGTCATCAGACAGGTCTGCAGACAGGATCTCCAGGTTGTACTGACCCAGCTCCTGGACCCGCAGCACACGGTACCTGGGCCAGGCTGAAACACACAGAAGAAACAAATGCACATTTCAGTTTGCAGAGTTTCCTACATGTTATTGAAAATTGTCAGACTTTTTGTTTTTTATCAATTTTTGAATCATTTTTTAACATCAAACATTTGTTTAGTGGAACTGTGTGAAGCTGAATCAACGTTTACAGTCGATGTGAAGCTTTTTGTTTTACTGTCAATATTTTAAACTGCATGTTTTATTTTACTGATTTGTACAGCGAAACATCCAGCGCATTTTGACGGGTACTAAAACATTTTGTTTTTGTAACTTTTATATTTCTCAAAATGTTTAACTTCATTTACAAATAAATTTATTAACACATAGAAATACATTTACATTTATTTTTTAAAAATGTAAACAGTTTTTTAAAATCTACTTCAGCACACCGGCTCTGTGCTTGCTTCTTCAGCTGCTTTTAGTTTTGAGCTACTATATCACTCTCTTTTAATTAGCCTTTTGCTACTTTAAGTTATAATTCTGTTCCCTTTACCTTTTAGCTAGCCTTTAGCTTTTAGCTATCTATCTGCTACAATTACATTTTAGCTAGCCTTTTGTTACTTTAGATAAAATTGTGTTAAGTTAAGCTTTTATCTGGTCTTTTGCTAGTTTTAGCTTATAGTTATCATTCTACTTTTTCCTTCTTCTTTCCGCTGCTCCCTTCTTCAGGGGTCGCCACAGTGAACTAACTCGCAGGAAGACGATTATTTTTACACTGGATGTCCTTCCTGACACAACCACAACAACCACAGACCACCGAGCTACCACAGTCCTCTGTGTGGAGCAGAGAGCTGCTATCTAGGGTGCCCAGGGGAGCAGATGGTGGGGGTTAAGGACCTTGCTCAAGAGCCCAGAGTGGGGCAAATGAGGGTGGAGGCAGATGTGGGTGTTTCACCTTTCCCACTGACATTTTGATGTCAGTCCAGGGAGTCGAACCGGTGACCTTCTGATCACAAGCTCTCCCTCTCTTATTTTTGCGCCACCACTCCCCCCTTAGTTATCATTCTACTACTTTTACCTTTTAGCTAGCCTGTTCCTACTTTTAGCTACTATTCTGTTGTTAACTTTTAAGTTGACCTTTTAGATAGCATTTTTAGCTACCACTCTGTTCAGTTCAGTTTTAACAAGCCTTTATCTAGTTTTAGCTACCATTCTGCTACTTTACCTTTTAGCTATCCTTGTGCTCCTTTAGCTACCATTCTGTAAGTTAGGCTTTTATCTGGCCATTTGCTCATTTTAGCTTTTAGTTATCATTCTACTACTTTGACCTTTTAACTGGCATTTTGAGACTTTTAGCTATTATTCTTTTAAGTTTAACTTTTATCTGGCCTTTTACCAATTTTAGTTTTAAGCTAGTCTTTTGCTACTTTTACCATTTACCTACCCTTCTAAAACCTTGAGCTTTTAGCTAGTCTATTGCTACTTTTAGCCCTTAAATGCATTTGCTCTTTTTAGTTTTTAGGTAGAGTTTCACTACTTTTTGCTACCATTCTGCTACGTTTAGCTTTAAGCTAGTATTTTCCTTTTAGCCTTTAGCTAATTTCTGTTTCTTTTAGCTTTTTTAACTCAGTAGCAGGGCAGCATGGCGGCGCAACTGGTAGAGCTGCTGCCTCTCAGCGAGCAGGTCCTTGGTTCAAACCTCGGTCCAGGGGCCCTTCTGGGTGGAGTTTGCATGTTCTCTCCATGCATGTATGGGTTTTCTCCGGGTACTCCAGTTTCCTCCCACAGACCAAAAACATGCATGTTAGGCTGATTGGTAACTCTAAATTGTCCCTAGGTGTGAGTGAGAGAGTGAATGGTTGTTTGTCTCTATGTGTCCCTGTGATGGACTTGCGACCCGTCCAGGGTGTACCCCGCCCCTCGCACAGTGATGGCTGGACATGGGCACCAGCGACCCCCGTGACCCAAAATGGAATAAGCGGGTAAAGAAAATGGATGGATGGATGGAACTCAGTAGCAGCTTCGTCAGCCGTCATTCAGCCCTCGGCGTTCCCACTGATTTTTCTCACAAAATGAGATTCCTCTAGTTTCATGATGTTTCGCCTCCACCTGGTGTCTGCTGGCTCCTCCTCTTCAAATGGACCCACCCACAGGTCACATGGCCTAACCAGCCAAATAAGCATGTGGTCTGCGACACCACGCAGCTTTTATCCAGCTGGTTAGAAAACATCAGATCTGTGTCATGACCGAGGCAGAAATCTGTCTTTTTTAGCCTCAGCCCAAAGGCCACCAGGGAGAAGTGTGTGTCCACACAATACCAAAAACACACACTGGACCAGACATGCACACTCACACACAGCTGTTTCCTTCTCCCCGTCCAGCTGTGCTGCCGCTCTGCATTCTCACCGGTAGGTGGAGCCCACGCTCTGGCAGCAGTGTGTGTGTGTGTGTGTGTGTGTGTGTGTGATGACAGCAGTGTTTCAGAGGACTCAAAACGATTCCGATCCACTGTGCAGAATTTATTTAGTCTCTGCTCAGTTCACACATTAAGTTCTGTGCTGTTGTTTACATGTGCAGCCTCAGAGCAGAGTTTTACTGCTTGCTCAACCCTGCGTGCTTTGCATGTGTCTGTGTGCGTCTGTGTGTGCATGTGTCTGTGTGTACGTTTGCTTTTTAAATACTTGCATTTGTATGCAAAATGTTAGGGGCAAAAGAGCACATGAACAGCTCAGAGTAGCAGTAACGTGTTCATTCATATTTATCAGCCACCTCTGAAAGGCAGTGCATAAAACAGGGATATTTACCTGGCGACACTTCAGTCTGGCCCACTTCATAAAAATAATACTTTTTTTTTTTTTTTTGGTTCTGGTTATTGCATTCATGATTCAATGCAATAAAATAAACAGATTTAAAAGGTAACAGATCATTGTAATACTTGGTTTATTTACATAATGACTTTAATCGCTGATGTCCGGCCCCCGAGCTGCTGCTTTCAGAAACTGCGGCCCCTTGAGCAGTTTAGTTGAATAGACCTGGCATAAAATAATGTTTTTCTTCTGCCTGTTAGCAAAATATCCCATGAGCCATTAGATAGATTTAATTAAATCATTCAGAAAATATCACTATCAATCTAATTCAAGATGGCCACTATAAGTAATCAACAACAGCCAAAAGAACGAGCAGTGTGCTGATGTCCCCCGTCGCTGAGGGGTTTGAATAATGAATGTTGGTAGTTTTTGAGATGAGTGTTTTTCTGGACTGGAATGGAAGAGTGAAGGCAATAAAACCTTATTGTGTTTGGTGAAAGATATTCAAGTGAGTAGGAGAGACACTGTGCAGAAGAAGAGAGGTAGGTTTTGTTGCTTATATGAAGCCATTCAGTCCCTATACATGAGGTGTGAGAGTTTGGTTCTCATTGCTGGCAGCAAGTCAGACCCCTTCAGGGTGGGAGTTGGACTCCACCAGGGCTGCCCATTGTCACAGATTCTGTTCATAACTTTTATGGACTGAATGTCTCTCAGTGCAGTCAGGGAGAGGAGGGAGTCTGGTTTGGTGGCCTCAGGATTCCATCTCTGCTTCTTGCAGATGATGTGGTCCTGTTGGCGTCATCGTACCGTGATCTTCAGCTCTCAATGGAGCAGTTTGCAGCTGAGTGTGAAGCAGCTCAGATGAGAATCAGCACCTCCAAATCTGACGCCATGGTCCTCTGTCAGAAAAAAGGTGGACTGCTCTCTTCAGGTCAAGTATGAGGTTCTGCCTCAAGTGGAGGAGTTCAAATCTCAGGGTTTTGTTCATAAGAGAGGGAAGAATGGAACATGAGATTGACAGACGGACTGGTGCAGCATCTGCAGTATTGTGGAATCTGTGCCGGTCCGTTGTGGTGAAAAGAGAGCTAAGCTGTAAGGTAAAGCTCTCTGTTTACCAGATGATCTATGTTCCTACCCTTAAACTATGGTCATGAACTCTGGGAAGAGACTGAAAGAACGAGACTGTGAATGCAAACGGTCAAAATGACATTCCTCTGCAGGGTAGTTGGACTCTCCCTTAGAGACAGGGAGAGGTTCAGTTTTCAGGGAGAGACTCAGAATAGAGGCACTGCTCCTCCACATCCAGGAGGCAGTTGAGGTGGCTCAGGTATCTGGTAAAGACGCCTCCCTAGGGAGGTTCGACGAGCATGTCCAACTGGAAGGAAAACGTGAAGAAGACCCAGGACACACTGGAGAAACTTTAGCCCCTTATCCAAAGGGCTAGTTCTTGTTGGATCCTGTTGTGTCCGGTTCTGGTGGGACCTCTTTTTTTCTGTCTCCACAGTGTCCATAGTTCCCGTTTAGTGGGCGGATTGTTCACCTCTAGTGGGCGGATTATTAATATCAACGCACCTTACCAACTGGTGGCGCTAGTGCTACATTAAGCTCTTTTCTAAGCACCACTAACATGTATTAGAAGAAGAAGAGCTGGAAAACAACACACAACCAAAATGGATGACCTCCTTGATCTCCGCCCTCCACCAATGAATACGCCCCCTGACCAATCAGTGACCTACAATGTGCTGATGTCACATCTAGACCCAACAAGAACCAGACCTGGGACCTCAGAGAAGTAGGTCCCAAAAATGGGGTGGGTTCCACTGCTGAAGGCATTGTGGATAAACCACGCAATCGGCCCGAACTAGTTACATAGGAGCCCCAAAAGGCCCTGTGGATAAGGGGCTTTTGTCTCTCGGCTGACCTGGGAATGTCTTGGAGTCCTCCAAGAAGAGCTGGAAGAGGTGGCTGGGCCTTCCTGCTCAAGTTGTTCCCCCGAGATCCAACTCCAGAACAAGCGGATAGATGGATAGATTATATGAGGCGGTGCAGAGTGACGGATCCGGGCGAGAGGAGGGAGCAATTCTGTCTTCCACCAGGTGCAATGACAAAGTCAGGGGGTGGTCAACGGTGGCATTGTCCTTCATAGATTAATATTCAGCCACCCCACTGGCCATCCAGATCATTTGAGGAAACTATACTTTTAAGCAGTAAAAAAAAATCTAGAAACTAAAGTTTCAATGATTTCAAAGATGACAAAGTCCATGCTCAATAATCCAGGTATACAATCCAACATTTTTCAGTCAGGTCATCTGGACAGTTTCTTTTTTTATTTTTTGTGCTGAAAAAAAAAAAAAAAGAAACTGTCCAATGACCTGACTGAAAAATGTTGGATTTCAAAGATGCTTCAAGGAATGCAAGGCCTTTAATTCTGCCAAGCTTTGCTTCAATGGACTCAGCAATTACAGCTGATTAAAGCAGGCTAATGAAAGTCAAGAGGACGGTAGTAAAACAAGAGAGGGACAGGACGGACAAGGACAGCAGGAGGACAAGAGGAAGAGACGTGACGAGGAGAGGAAGAAGTGAGAGACAAGAGACGAGTTAAAAGAAGAAAAAGAAAGAGGGATTAGTGCATCAAAGGCTGCGTAAAAAACGAGAGCAAGGAAAGAAACAGGGATATAAGAGGAGGAGGTCACAGAGGAATAACAGCACAGAAAGACAGAGAGAGGAGATGAGAGCGTCCCACGTCCTCGAGTACACCTCAGAGCTCGGGACAACGTGGAGTTGGGGAGAGAAAGAGTGGAGCGAAACAACAAACACGAAGCAATCACATTTCACTGATGATACAAATACCTTTACTGAACAATCAGTTAAACATCTGGCCACATGTTTAGACCAGTAACTGAGCAACAGCTGTGTCTGCTTCCTTCCTCCAACCCCTCTACCCCACCCCACGGCACAAAAAAGAGCATTTCTCCAAACATTGGAGCTCAGTGAGGAGATGCATCACAGACAAAATCAGGTCAGCAATGGTCTCCACCATGTATACAGTATATATACACAAGTGTTTTGTATTTCTACCTGTTTGTATTAGTAATTATTTCTATCTTAACATGTGTTTTGTCTTTTCTTCTATAGAAAGTACACCTGGACCTGCCATTCTGTGTCTGATTGTCTCTCCTTCCTCTTCCTCTCATATCCCAGCTGGTCGAAGCAGATGGCCGTTCGTCCTGAGCCTGGTTCTGCTGGAGGGTTCCTCCTTTTAAAAGGGAGTTTTTTCCTTTCCACTGTTGCCTTTGTGCTTGCTAAGGATGGGAGAATGTGACGAAGTGAAGATTTAACTAAATCTACTGGTTTCCTTACATAGATAACGTTTACTAATTGGCTTTTTTATGTATATGAATGTTTCTGTTCAGTGCCCTGAGATGACTTCCGTTGTGAAATGGAGCTATAGAAATAAACTGAGGGTGGCACAGTTGGTAGAGCAGCCGTCTCTCAGTGAGCAAGTCACCAGTTCAAAATCCAGGCCGGGGACCTTTCTGGGTGGAGTTTGCATGTTCTCTCTGTGTATGCTGGGCATGTTAGACTTATTGGTAACTCTAAATTGTACCTAGGTGTGAGTGAGAGAGTGAATGGTTGTTTGTCTTGTTTGTCTTTATGTGTCCCTGTGATGGACTGGAGACCTGTCCAGGGTGTCCACTGCCTCTCGCACAGTGACTGCTGAATATGTGACCCAAAAAAGAAGAAGCGGGTAAAGATAATGGATGGATATAGTGTAGTTTTTACGTCGCAGTACGTACAGAAAAACTCCAAAACTCCAAACCTTCACTTTTCAAATCCTGCAGCGATGGGGGACATCATGTGTTGACTTGACTTTGACCTGAATTAATTTCACAATATACAGTAGTCCCTCGCTACTTCGTGGTTCGACTTTCGTGGACTTGCTTTTTCGTGGTTTTTCAAAGTAAGATTGTACACAACACATGTCTGTCAACTTTAATACAGTATTACTCACGTGATTGGGACAGTACTGGATACTGTACAGTAGAAAGTAAACGAAAAAATAAAATACTTTAGATAGGCGCTGCAATTTTGTAGTTTTCTCTCAATAAGCCTACACTGTATTCCCCCTCATAACAACTACATTTCCCAGAAGCCTACAGTGCCCCACCCAGAAGCCCCAGTGCCTTATGCTGAAATACTAGAGGGAAAGTTTTGATCTGATCCGAAAAACTTCAGTCCTTATTTATACAGTCCTTATTTATATATTTATATTTATAAATCTTATTTATTCATCTTTTGTTTTTATGCTGAAACCTGAAAAATAGTTGTGGGTATGGTAACAAGACTGTGTTTCATAATGATTTAGAAACACTTGATTTGAGTATAAATTTCCAGCAATGACAAAATGCTAATTACATTAGCTTTTCTAGCTAGCATCTATGCTAATTGCTAATGCTAATTTGGCACTTTTTCCCCCAATTTTTATAAACCATGAAAATATATAAATCAGTGTTCATTTATGTAAAAAAAAAAAAAAGGTCATTTAAGTTTCAAGATGATTGGAATGCATCAAAAATAGTTTTGTAGTTTTGTAGTAGCCTTCTGGTTCGTAATTGAATCGTGAGGCGTCTAAAGATTTCCAACCTCATGATGTTTGTCGTTTTTAAGTGTGGCCTGAACTTTACGAACAAATTCTTCATCAGTTTTAGACGTGCTGAGCACAGTGGAGGACGCCTGAGGACATCGGGTGGTGTCTCACCTCGGAGGTCTTCTCCGATGCCCAGAGCCAGGCCATCTTTGGTCCACTGAACAATGCCGGAGTAGTTGAAGACAACACAGGACAGGAGCACCCTCTGGCCCCGCACCACCGAAAGGTCTGCCGGCTCCTGGGAGAACCTTGCTGTCCTCACTGCTGCATGAGAACAAATTTGGGAAACAAAGAAAGAAAACAGAGATAAGTTAGGAACCCGTCTTTGTGTACACAGACCTCCTTTATGCTCAGTGTGAACACTGTCAGCATTCACTCTTACTAACCTTTGAAGTTTCTCTCCTATGTTTTTACAATCTAACTACTTCTGCTGTTTTATACGACAGAGCTTTAGGGGCACGCCAAGAAAAAAATATTAAAAGTCAGAAAATGACAAGAATAAAGTTGTAGTATTACAAGAATAAAGTCGAATAAAGTCTTAACATTACGAGAATAAAGTCGTACGAGACTTTTTTTTTAACAGCTGTCGTTAATTATTTTTTTCTTCCACGAGTCGGATTCACAATGCGACCTGTCAATCAATCCAGTAGGCGTGTCAGCAAATGACCAATCCGAAGCTTAATGAGTCGTAATATTATCCAAACTCCGACACGATAAAGCAGGGTTTACCACATTTTAACTGTGGTAAAATGAAGAATGTTTGTTAAACTTTATTGTTATTGACGCTCTTAATCAAAACGTGTTTCAATACTGCCACCTACTGTTGTGTTTTTGTATGCTGCTTCTGGGATGAATACGTGACGTCATTACGACATGACTATCGTTTTTGTTTCCGTTTGAAAACAGCGCTCAGTGAGCAAAACGGTGTGAGTGCAGCGCTGTTAGAGGTCTTCAATAAATATGCCAGAAAGAGGCTGAAGAGACCCATCGACTCACTTACAGGAGCATCTAGCTTCAGTCATTTACTGACATGCCTACTGGATTGATTGACAGGTCGCGTCGTGGCTCCGACTCGTGGGGAAATTTTTTTTTAACAATAACTGTAAAAAAAAGAAGTCTCGTACGACTTTATTCTCGTAATTCTATGACTTTATTGTCGTAATTTTATGTCTTGTCATTTTTATTCTTAGCGTGGCAATGTAATTAATTTTTTTTAGCGTGACACTAAAAAGTTCCGTCAAAGTTTTAACCATTCGTATACCAAAACATTCAGTTCGACTGAGAATAGTGCACAAAGCTTTATTGTAACTTCTATAATTTTCTAAATATTTACCTTAATTTAAGCAAACAACTCTCTTCAGTTCCTTCAAAAACATTCTTCTTTGTTTATTTTTGTCTTCTTATCCTACATTAGCATTTAACTATCCTTTGTTTCTTTTGCTGCTTTAAGCAACCACGTCGCTCCTTTTAAATTTTAGCTACAGTATAGCTAATTTCAGCTATTGTTTTGCTGGTATAGTTGCTTCAGCATTGGTTTGGCTACTTTTAGCTAAAAATGTACTCATATTAGCCTGTTTTGATAATTTTAGCCGTAAATTTTCTAATTGTAGCTAGAGTTTTGCTCATTTTACCAACACTTTTGCTAGTTTTAGCTAGCTTTGTTCATTTTAGAGTCAGTATGTTTAGCAAACTGTAGCACATGTTTTGCTAATTTGGGTATCTGTTTTGAAAGCTACTGTTTTATTATTTTATCTTTATCTTTTTTTTCTAATTTTAACTATTGCTTTATCAATTTTACCTATAGCATCTATTTAGCAAAATGTTACTATGCTTTTTCTGTTTTTGGCATCTGATTAGCTAATTTTAGCTATTCTATTGCTTAATTTAACTTAACTTTTGCTATTTTCAGTTATAGTTTTGCTCATTTGGGTAACAGTTTTGCTAGTATTAGCTGTTTTTAGCCGTTTTTAGCTCTGTCATGTTTGCAAAATTTTAGCATCTGTTTTGTTAATTTTAGCACCTGTTTTGTTAATTTTGGCATACGATTTGTACAATTTAGCATCTGTTTTGTTGATTTTAGCATCTGTTTTGTTAATTTCATCATCTGTTTAGCTAATTTAAGTATCCGTTTTGCTAATTTTAGTTTCAGTTTTGCAAACCGTTAGCATCTCTTTTCCAATTTTAGTATCTGTTTTGATAGTTTTAGCTGTTTTTTGGCTTGTTGCAACTTGAACAGTAGTTTCAGCTTCTTCAGCAGTCATTCATCCATCACGCTGTGTTTTGCAGTAAACGCAGCTTTTCCAGTGACTTGTGTGTTTTTATGTCTTCAAACGTGCCTCCCCTCAACAACAGACTCACAACGACCACATCTGATCGCTCCGTGGCTCGCAGCCACAAACCGAGCAACACAAACGAGCAGCATGGAGAGGCAGGGCTGGGGAGGGAACCAGAGCACAGTCAGAGAAATTTTAAAAAAGGATGCTGAATGGTGTGTGTGTGTGTGGGGGGGGGGGGGGGGCGCTTTGGAACACACTCAGAGGATCAAACTGGGAGCTTCAGCATTCACCCCGTCTGTTCTCAAATCCTGACTTTTTTTATGTCCCTCAGAAACCTCTGCCCCCCCCCCCCCCCCCAATTCTCCTTCATTCCTCCCTGTGAGTCATCTCCCAGGCCTCTGCTCCACAACCAAACTACAGTGACTGCCATTGTCTTCTGGACCCCGCTCTGTCTCTTTCAGCCTGTAGGCCACTATCACAGAAGACCACATACATAGTATGTATAAGCAAAAAAATACCCTCCCCCCCAACAAAAATCTGCTCCCCCACTGTGCGATGACGACTTGTAATTAGCTGTCCCCCAAAGGCAAAACACACATAAAGATTTATGTTAAATTTTCATTCTTTCCATTCTAGCTTTCATCCCCCTCCCCCTCCCTAGTTATTTCGAATAATCTTATCCAGTAGATCATTAACCCTCTGCTGCATTAACTCTCCCACCCCCCCCACCCCCGTTCTCCTCACCATGATGTTACCCAAATTGCTTTGCCTCCTTCACTGCTTTAGCTGGCTATATGTATGCATGCCCACTCCCCTCTTTCACTTTCTCCATCTATAATGCTGCCTATGAATGTCCTTTTGCAGCCACTCATTCTCACCCCCCACCACCACCCCCACTTCTCTGTTTCTAGACTTTCGGCGTGCCATTTTCTTTCCATATCCATCCATAATGGCAAATGTGCCCTTTTACCCATAATGCTTTCTATTTCTGTGCTCCTCCTCGCTCGTTGCTAGTTGGTGGTGGGGGTGGTTGTGGGGCGGCTGTGTAGGGGTGGACTGTCACAACTCATTTATCACATTAAATATCACCCCTCTGGCACTTTCTCCCTTCTCTCACACCCCACTCACTCCATTTTTTTCTTCACCTCCCACCATTTACATTTCTCACTTGTCCTCTTCACTTTTTTCCCTCCACCCTTCTCACCCCTCCGTCTACCTCTCTTATGCCCTCATATATGGCAGGCCGTTTTAATATAAAATCGAATTCACCCCACTTACATTCCAGATATCTGATATTGATTTATGACTATACATATTAGTTATTTAAGATATCTTTAATTATATATTTGACTAGACAAAATACTTAATTGAGATATCTCTAATTACATTCTGATTAGTATAAGGTATAGTATCAGGTGTGCAGTGGAGAGCATCCTGTGCTCGAGCATCAATGTGTGGCATGGAGGCTGCACAGCTGCAGAAAGAAAAGCTTTGCAGAGAGTGGTGAAGGCTGCACAGAAGACTGTTGGAGTTAGTCTCCCCACCATCACAGACATCTACACCTCCAGATGCAGGAAGAGGGCCACCTGCATCATGAAGGACCCCACTCACCCAGCACACACACTTTTTGCCCCACTCCCCTCAGGAAGGAGGTTAAGGAGCATTAAGTGTAGAACCACTAGACTGAGGAACAGCTTCTACCCTGAGGCTGTTAGACTCATGAATCTCTAACTAGAATAATCACTGTGAAAAACCACATCATGTTGCTGCTGATCTGTTTCATGTTGCTGCTGATCTGTTTCAATGTTGATGTGTTCATGCGTGCACATCTGCTCACAGACTCATGTTCATGTTTGTGCTGATGTTCAATGTTTTATGTTATGAGTGCTTAGTGTATATTTAGTTGATGTTTTTCTTAGTTCATATCTTAGATGTTATTACTGTTTTTCTCATACATTTTATTGTTGGATGTAACTGGGACCTTGTGTACATAATTTCGCTCCACCACATGTACCACGTGAGGTGCGAATGACAATAAAGAAACTCTGACTCTGATAAATGACGTCACCATTAAGTTCAAATTCAATTTAACACAATCCAGCCTGATTTGCTTTGTCAGAAACTTCAGAAGACTCAGGTGGAGGCCTCAACAATCGCCTGGATCAAAGACTACCTGACGGACAGACCACAGTTTGTGAGGCTGAAGGGTTGTCTAACCAGGTGGTCAGTAGCTCAGGAGCACCACAGGGGACTGTACTCTCACCATTCCTTTTCACTCTGTACACCTCAGATTTCCAGTACAAAACAGACTCCTGTCATCTGCAGAAATATTCTGATGACTCTGCAGTAGTCGGGTGTATCAGAGATGGACAAGAAGCTGAGTACAGGGAACTGGTGGACCACTTTGTGGCATGGTGTGGAAACAATCATCTCATCTTGAATGTGAACAAAACAAAGGAGATGATTGTAGATTTCAGGAGAATCAGGAACAGATCCAACCCTATTTTCATCATGGGAGAAGAAGTGGAGGTGGTGGAGAAGTATAAATACCTTGGAGTTAACCTGGACAATAGACTGGACTGGAGATACAACAGTGAAGCCGTCAACAAGAAGGGACAGAGCAGACTGTACTTCTTGAGGAAGCTGAAGTCCTTCAGTGTTTGCAGCAAGATGCTGCAGATCTTCTATAAGTCTGTTGTAGAGAGTGCCATCTCTTCTGCCATCATCTGCTGGGGGAGCAGCACCAGAGCAAGTGACTTCAAAAAGATCAACAAGCTCATAAAGAAGGCTAACTCAGTTCTGGGGACTCCTCTAGAAGCTTTGGAGATGATTGTACAAAGAAGGATTCTTCATAAAATGAAGAACATTATAGACAACCCTCAGCATCCTCTTCATCAGACTGTCATACAACAACAAAGTGTCTTCAGTCAGAGGCTTCTTCAAATCCGTTTTAGGACAGACCGCTACAAGAGATCCTTCCTGCCCACA